TCATGCTTGAATAATTAGGATTATTATTAAATATTAATATAGAGTTAAATTGAGATTAGGAGTTGTAGTTAGATTGTAACTAGGTTGATATTCCTACCTTATTATAAATAGTAGGGGTACCTACCTATATTCATGAGAGAATCAAATACAGATCGAATAGGAAGAATATTCCAAAATCCCCAATACGTACGTACGTGTTTGTGTGTTTCTGAAAAAAAAGATGTCGGTGGGAGAGATTGCATGCACATATGCTGCTTTGATTCTTCACGACGATGGAATCCCCGTCACTGCCGATAAAATAGCAACACTTCTAAAGGCGGCGAATGTGACCGTTGAATCGTACTGGCCGAGTCTGTTTGCCAAGCTTTGTGAGAAAAGGAACATCGACGATCTCATCATGAACGTTGGATCCGGTGGTGGTGCTGCTGCTGGTGCCGTCGCGGCGGCTGCTCCTACCGGAGGCGCTTCTGTTGGTGCTGCTGCTGCCCCCGCCACCGAGGAGTCAAAGGAGGAGGAGTCAAAGGAGGAGGAGAGTGATGAGGATTTGGGTTTCAGTTTGTTTGATTAGCTGTTTTTTTCTTTTCTTCTTTTTCTATAATCTTGTTTTAATTATTATTGCAGAATTGTTCTCAGAGAGTAGTTTGAGATGATAACTACCTCTTTTTAGGGTTTCGTTTTTTTAATTTATGAAGTTCAATTTTGATTTCAGACTCCTGACCTTCGATTTGATTAAAAAAAATACAAATCAAATTAATCATGATACTTTTCTAAGTACTCTAAGATGGTATCGGAGTCATACTGTTGTTTTTTTTGTGTTTATTCATCTTTCGCTCGATTATACCAAATACCGAAATAGACATAAACCACCACTCTTTGATTTGTCATTACAATTTTGTTTGTGGTGTTTCTTCTTATTCTCACGCTTCCGCCGCAACGGAAAACTCTATAAAGTTGTAGCTCTTAATTTCTTTGTGGTCTTATTTTTGTTATTTCTTCATCTTTCGCTCGGTTTACCCGAGACGGAGAACAACATTAATCACTGTTATTCATCGATGAATTTACTTTTTCCTAATCAGTCTTAATATTTTTTGTGTTTCTTCGGCTGTATTTGAAAAAAGTAAGCACTGTTAAGTTTGTTTAATTATTATATATCTGAATGATACAATATTACTACATTAACCCTATAACTAAATCTATTTACTAGTTGAATTATTAATAACATCTAAAAATATTGTTTTATTTACTAATAAAATCATAACAAAAAATGTGGAGTCGAAAAACAACATAACTTTTTTTCTACTATAAAACAATTTGATTAAAATCAAAGATTTTTTTTTCTTCATCTCAGATCTCATTTTCTCGATTTGTGTGTATAACAATAATGTGGAGTAGAAGAATCCAAATAGTTACACTTAAAAGAAAAAAAAATGAAATACATAGTGATAGTACAAGAAGCACCATCTCAATTTTTTCTAGGGATAAGTTTGTCAAAATTCATTCAGCTGGATGATTAAGCGAGAATTTTCTAACTGAATCGCGGTAATATGTTCTGTTCAGATATTCAAACCAAACACACTTAATGGAACATATCGACCGAATAAGACATTAGTCCTCACTCAGAACCTCATTAAGTGGTAACAAACAGAGCCTTCGTCTTTATTGATCTTAGTTCGCTAAGAAAATTACCATAAATCATTGGTGTGTCCTACAATCGCCGCCGTGCACGTTGTTGTGTTGGTTCTGCTTTGGTTGGTGGTACGAGTTGTGATTTACTTTATTTGTAAAAACAACCGTTAGAATATCGAAGTGGAGTGGTGATGGTGTGAGGCGGCGGTGTGATGACAATGAAGAGCAGATCTATGATTTTTTGGTAGATTGGGCGAAAGACGGCGCGGGTAGAGATATTCGTGCAGGTTGGATCCTTAATCGAAATCGACTATGCTTCATCGTAGTCGATTAAAGTGTTAATCGGCTGTTTTGGTAGTCGATTAAGGTTACTCGATTTCATATTTTAATTCATTTTGGATTTTTGTGTATTGATTCCGATTTTTATAAATCAATTGCAGTTTATGTAAGAAAAATGTTGATTTTCGTTTTTATGTAAATGTGTTTTATTTTTCTTTTTAGTAGTCAGTTCTTTAATCGATTATGCTTCATCATGGTCGATTAATATACCTGATAGAGAAAAAAAGTAAAAACCCGAAAAAATATAAAAAAAAAATATATAGAGGCTGATGGGCGATGATAGCGCTGACGAGGTGGCATGATCGTAATTGGAAAAATGGATAATTAAAATTATGAGTGAAATCCCTATAAAAATATATATTTCATTTCTTTTTTTCTAAAAATAAATAAATAAATAAATATACATATATATATATATATTTCAAATTCTTTCATTAAAATATTTATTTTCTGCACTTTATTAGTAAATGATCAAAGGATTTGGTAGGCCAAAAACCAAGCGTTTCTTGGCAATATTATCCATATTCCATATCACCAAAGAGTCGAACGTTTAAAAATGGCCGCCATTAGAGTAGCTTCCACTTCCCTCACCCTTCCTTCTTCATCTTCTTCTTCCTCTTCTTATTATTACAATTCACGTCCCTCGGTTTTTACGAAATTCCGATTCAGACCCATCTTTGATATTTCCTTTGCAATCGGACCCCTCTCTCCCACCAGAGCAAAGCGCATGTCTCATTCCATTGCTCATGCCACTCTCGGCCTTACTGAACCCAATAAGACCGACCCACCAACGGTAATCCATTTTCTTCCCAACAAAATAACACAAATTTGAATTCATTTATTTATTTTTATTTTTTTAATTCTTTGTTTGAATTATCTTTATTTTGTAATTGAATTTTCTTTGCAAGTTGTTTTCGGTTAATTTTTCCCAATTTAACAATTTAAGCTTGCCTACGTTTTTATCCATGGTAAATTCATATGAAATGAAATCTCATATATATATATATATATATATATATATATATATATATATATATATATATATATATATATATATATATATATATATATATATATATATATATATATATATATATATATGCAACTTTACTAAATTGGTTTGTTTCTTGAATTTTGTTAAGATCTCATTTGCTGCGAAAGAAACCGATTTATTAGAATGGAAAGGAGACATTCTTGCAGTGGGTGTAACCGAAAAGGACATGTCGAAAGACGAAAATTCGAAGTTCGAAAATCCGACACTGCAGAAGCTAGATTCCTACTTGGGTGGATTGTTATCCGAAGCCTCTTCGGAGGAGGATTTCACCGCTAAGGCTGGACAGTCGACTTTTCTTAGGGTCACCGGCCTTGGTTCGAAAAGGGTCGGTCTAATTGGGCTCGGATCAGCCGCATCACCACCCGTGGTAGCTTACCGCGGTCTTGGCGAGGCTGTTGCAAATGCAGCCAAGTCCGTGCAGGCGAGTATTGTTGCAGTCACACTTGCTTCTTGTGATGGAATCTCCGTCGAATTGAAGGCTAGTGTTGCTTCGGCAATAGCTACTGGTATATTTATATTCTCGAATCCTATATATGGCCTCGTTTGCTTATCTATGTTGGATTGGATTGGATTAGATTAGATTGGACGGGTTGGATTAAGTCTCTACTAACTAATTAATTATTTTAATTAATAAGATGTTCGGTTCGTTAGATTAGATCTTGTATTAAATCTATTAGATTTTGTTATGCTATTTTATGCGATTTGTCTAGAAGGGGAGTTAGATTAAATAACTACCCGCTAAGCAGACATACACATGGGTGTGTGTGATTATGTGTAGATCTACAGTTCAAATTCACCCAGTGTAAATTACCAGGTGTAGCATCTAATTTCCCTGTCTAAAAAGCCTCTTACTTTTAAAGATAAAATAGTCATTTCCTTGTTTACTCGCCTCGCCCTCTGCAAAATTAATCTAACTGGAAGGGTGCTACTAATTTAATGAAATAGCTGCAATTAATTGCGTGCATTAACTTGCTAGAGGGTTTTGAATAAGTACGAATCTTGTCAATCGAACGTCTTACTAGCCTCTATTATGTAGTCGTCAGAACTTAATAGTGGTAACCGAACGGACAATGTTGTTTAAAATCTGATATTATATGTCATTTTTCAAAAACTTCCCTAATTTAACTATAATCATATTCTAATTTATAATATTTCTAGAAAAAAATCGTCTTTTTCCCTTTTTAGTTACAATTTACAAAACTGAATCGCAGTTTTATTGGATAGTAGCAGTTAATTGCGGGCTTCAGTTATTTGGAAACAAGCCAACCAAAGATGTAACTAAATCCTACTATTTAGTCTATAGGACTTAATAGCCTACGTGAATTAATCTATTTTTGTTTTCTCGATATTGAGTGTAATTACTTCATGGGATGTTTGAAACGAAAACAGGAGCAATGCTGGGTATTTTCGACGATAATAGGTTCAAATCAGAATCGAAGAAACCATCGCTCGAATCAGTGGAGATTATCGGTCTTGGTAGTGGGCTCGAAATCGAGAAAAAACTCAAATACGCGCAAGGTCTTTCTTCGGGGATCATATTTGGGAGAGAGCTCGTAAATGCTCCGCCTAATGTACTCACCCCTGGTTTGTAATTATTTTTCGTTCGTTCGATATCTTCCACTTTTTGTTCTCGCACTTATCTATGAATATATTTATTTATAATTTATATTTCTCGTAAATTTCAGGAGTTTTAGCTGAAGAAGCCACAAGGATTGCTTCAGAGTACAGTGATGTTTTTACAGCAAAAATATTGGACGAAGAGCAGTGCAAAGAATTGAAGATGGGCTCGTATTTAGGTGTAGCTGCAGCATCGGCCAATCCTCCGTATTTCATTCATTTGTGTTATAAGCCTCTTAGTGGAGAAGTCAAAACCAAGCTGGCTTTAGTTGGCAAAGGGTTGACTTTCGACAGGTGAATAAATGTTCTTTTTTTCGTTTTGCAAAAATGGACGTTGTTTATTAGCGGATTGTCTCGTTTTATATAATCTTGATTGTTGGCTTTATGATGATGATTCAGCGGCGGCTACAATATCAAGGCGGGACCCGGCTCTATGATTGAACTGATGAAATTCGATATGGGTGGCTCAGCTGCAGTACTCGGTGCAGCAAAAGCTCTCGCCCAAATTAAACCTTCTGGCGTAGAGGTAGATTTTTTTTTAATTATAACTTAAATTTTATTTAATTTAGTCCGATTTTCGCTATTTTTTAGTTAATTTACGGTCGCGGATAATTATTATTATTTTCACTTTTAATGATTGATAATGTTTTATGCAGGTGCACTTCATTGTAGCAGCTTGCGAGAATATGATAAGTGGAACGGGTATGCGACCTGGCGATGTTCTCACAGCTTCAAACGGGAAGACAATCGAGGTAATTCATTTGTTGCATTTCCAATTTTACTCGTTTAATTAAAGTTAATTATCGGTTTTTATTTTTTATTTTTTTCATTTGCATCATCGAATCATTTTCTTCCATTACGTTACAGTAGACTATTTAAATTTTGCCATTAGCAAATGAAGCTAGATTTAGTTCCAAAAATGTAAAGATCGAATTTTTATCGGCTTCGACTTTTGCATATGTTATTTTAGTCGATCGATCTTGTTTGAAGGTAAACAACACCGATGCGGAAGGAAGACTCACACTTGCCGATGCTTTGGTTTATGCTTGTAATCAAGGCGTAGACAAGGTATAGACGCACTAAAGAGTCTCACTTATTTGCATTTTAGTCCTTTATGTGATAATGTATTGCTGTGTGAACCTTTATTTATTTATTTTTTTATAAATAATGTGCAGATAGTGGATTTGGCTACACTGACTGGGGCTTGTATAGTTGCTCTTGGACCATCAATTGCTGGTAGGATTGATTAATCATCCTTCAGTTTTTTATTTCTTTATTTATAGAAATGTAATAACTGTTTTCTTTAATGTAAATTAAAAAAAAAAGGTGTTTTTACACCGAGCGATGACCTGGCAAACGAGGTATTTGGAGCCTCGGAGGTTAGCGGGGAGAAATTTTGGAGAATGCCGATGGAAGAAAGTTATTGGGAGTCGATGAAATCGGGCGTGGCTGATATGGTCAACACCGGTGGTCGTCAAGGTGGTGCTATAACCGCCGCTCTTTTCTTGAAGCAGGTATATAATTTTTTTAATTTATTATGTTGAGACAAAGTCGATGAATTTGTTATTATGAATTTAATTTAATGTATATGAAAATCTTTTTCATTTCATCGAAATGAAACCTTAGTGGTAGCGAAGAAAATGAACAACTAAAAATATATGTTTGTGGAACCGTGCAGTTTGTGGACGAGAAAGTGCAGTGGATGCATATAGACATGGCAGGACCTGTTTGGAGCGACAAGAAGAAAAACGCAACAGGGTTTGGTGTTTCCACATTAGTCGAATGGGTACTGCACAACTCTTCGTAAATCGTAATTTAGCCCATTTAATATAAAAAATAATCTCGTGTAAATTTCATTTCTTTTTGTTTTTCTCTTTCATCTTTGCCCCATAGCTTGTAAGAATCGTTAAATTCATTTCATCGTAATATTTCGTTTTCTGAATCCAGGACATCGTATATTAAATTCATTTTAAAAAAGGCCGGCTATAGTTCAATGCCTTATGGACTGCAAACAGCCAGGTCGTACGATCGGTTCGAAACAGCTAATTCAAAAAAAAAAATTTGTGTTGGGCACCCCATTGGAACTCGAAGATAAATACATAATCCTATTCTATTACATAATGATCCTATGTGAATGAGATTTAGGTATTACAGATTAACTAACAAAAGAGATAAAAAATATAAACAGAAAGAACTTATACTTAAAATTTACATATAACAAAACTTATATGATGAAAATGTTAAGCTTTTTGTGTACAGCTCGGTTTCCAATATCACATTTTATCATCTAAAATCCATCGACGATGGAATCAACTGCTCAATACAATCGCTAAAACCGTAAGTTTGACGAGAACCACTCAATTTTTGGTGAATTCTTTTTATCTTAACCCTGAATCTCACTTTTTTTTTAATCCTCTTGTGTTTCCCTCACTCAGAATTGGATATCACATGTAGGAAGAATAGAGATCTGAAGAAACTAGGAAGAGATTCCAATGGGTTTGTTTTACTTTCTTTCTCTCACAGAATGATTTGCTATATAGATGGAAAAAAAAGGATTATCTCAAAGCAGAGAACAAAAATGGTACAACCATCGACATAGTCAAACGGGCATTTCACCAAGAAATGCCAAGACGCATTCAATGACCATAAGAAAGGGAGAGAGAGGAGAAAATATCATAAAATAGGATTTGAGAGAGAGAGAGAGACAGAGAATAAATACATCGAATGTGTGGTGAAGATCAATGTTGAAAAAACCAACGATCAAAGTTCAGGATCTAAAGAGTTTTCATAGTTTGACGGATCACTTGGACTTTAATCTCTTGTAAATTTGATATCACAAGTGTGATTTACATCCTCCGACATAGACACGGCCACGGGACGGGTCGGGTCCGGGTGGGGTGGGGGGTCCACCAAGGTCTATCCGTATCCGGGTCCAAACCAGTTATTAATTTTTTTTTTGTTTTTCTAAACAATTACAAGAAAGAAAAAAAAATGAAAACTTGAAAAACTTTAGATTAACTTTAAATTCAAAATAAATAAAAAATGAATTGAAACACTAAACAATTTTAGAAAAAAATGAAAAACGATTAGGACCTTGAGACACAAACTAAATAAAAGGAAAGTTATGAAGATTAGATTAGGGGTATTTATAAGTGAAAATAATAATTGAGAAATTTTTCAAAATTTCAAAATTCAAAAAAAATCAAAATTCAATCTTTCTTATAAATTACACGTGTTGAATCGTAATTTTTTATATTTCTCAAAATGAAATACATATGCATTTTTTATTAGTGAAGATTTTTAATATTTTTTTTTGAATAACGAGATTTTTAATATTAGTAATAGTGAATATGACAAAAAATCAATGGTCAACGGGAACGTCGTCGGGTCAGGTCCGGCTGTTGGCCGAAAACCTACACGCAAGTGCACGTATCGTACAAGTAATATAGTGGACAATTAAGTCCGAATATCGAACCCACAGGGAATAATTAATTACTTAATCCTAGACGCTAAATTCTACCAATTATTATCAAGCCCACCCTACACAGTCGACTTTAGAAGAATTAACTAGATTAAATTAAATTAAAAAGCAAATTAAAACGACAAAGCAAGAAAGCAAATTAAACATGAAGATTTATCAGAGTAAACAAGCCTAGAATTTTATTCTTCTCCCTATGTGATTATTATTTCCCTCAATTCCTTCAATTATGCAAGCAATTAACCCGGATTATTAACCTGAGATGCTAAAATAATCGTAACCCGCTTCCGTGTGTATTACGATTCTAATACTCTAGATTCAATTACTATATTCCTATGCAATTATTTTTAGAACACAGCATTAAGAACAAATCTCAATAATGGCTACCTAAGAGATTAACTATATCCCTATGTTAATACCACAAAGGCTCTTCTACCACAGTTCTAATTATTAACCCGATCTTCCGATTCATGCGATTAACAATAACATAAAAGCGCATAAAGTGGCCAGTTTCATGCACTTAATAAAACAAGCAGGAGAAATAATCCGGAATAAAAACTTGCATAAAATCATAGAAAAGGGTTCATAAATCCCACATAGGGTTCCAAATAAAATCCTAGAAATAAAGACTTAGCTACTCGTGATTCTTATGATAAAGAAAATAAAATAAATAAATTAAATAAGAAAAACTATGCTTGAGTCTTCATTGATCTTCGTTCCTCGCGTTTTGTGGTGTCAAATTTCGTTATTGCTTTGTTGCTCTCCAAATTACCTAAAAAAAGATCTCCAATTGAGTGCTTGGCTTGGTCTTATATAGGGTGAAGAACTTGGGGAAGAAGGCAGTTTCCTTGTGCAATTAAAATCCCTTTACTGCGCTGCTTCGGAGTCTCGGACGGCCGTCCCAAAATTTGAACTAAAACTCGGACGGCCGTCCGAGCATTAAATCTTCAGGATTTTAATTTTTTCACTTTTGGCCCATATTTTCTCCAAAATTGCAGTTTTGACCCCATACTTTTCCAATTCTTCAATTTATACCTAAAATACAATAAATCAACTTTTTAAGCACCAATTATCGTTAAAACACACCAAAAGATCAAATAAAAAGGTACGATAAAGTGTAAAAATATACACTTAACACACCCCCAAACTTGAACTTTTGCTTGTCCTCAAGCAAAATCTACCAATAAGCAAATAACTCAACTATTACATCTCATCACATAGATCAATGATCAACTTCACGTTTTCAGAACTTGTAATTATAATGACAATTCCTAGGCATTCGCAAGCTTAAAATTCAACAACACTTAGTCACTCACCATTACCAAAAACCACAATTCATACAATTGCTTCAAGCATCCAATATTTGCAAATTAATGATAGAAAGAATTTATACTTACATGCATATGCTTGACTTCAAATACTCACCAAATTATTCTACTCTACTAATATCGAACATTAAGCTATTGGGATCATTGGGGCTTTGTGGCTTTCAATTGTTAGGCTCTTTGGTTCGAGGTAGGAAATATGGGTATATGTGGCTATTCTTCTTGAATTTAGGTGATTACGCCAAAATTTGAAAGATATGCGTTTGAAACAATGAATTCACCTCTACGGACTTTAATAAACTCGATTCTCAAAAGTTCAAAAGTCTCCACTTTTGCTTTTGAGGCAATGGATCGAGTTTTAAAAAATAATTCAACAATTAGTCCTTATTTCTCCCTTCTACTCTCTTCTTCTTCTCTTTTTCTCTTTTTTTTTTTAATATATATATAGAAGCATAGATATTTGTCTTCTTTTTTTTTTTCTTTTTTTTTCGAAGAAGAAGAAGGACCTTATAAAAGTTTTCGACCGAACTCCAAGGGGTAATTTTCAAGAATCTCCACCTATTCTACCTTACACATTGGCTAAAAGAAAGAACACCTTTTCTCCGAGGCTCAAATCAAGGTTCTAAGGATAATTTCGATAAAAATGTCAGCTTGAAAGGCTCAAACGGTTCAAAGAAGACCCAAATCATATCCCAAATCACTCACTACTCAATACTTCGTATCATAAATTTCCTAAGGTGAGTCTTAAAACCGAACATAGCATGATTTAGCACAAATTAATTCCAAATTTAAAATACAAAACATTCAACCAAAGCAATGCACAAAATGTGATTCCTAGCAATAATTCGCTTCTAAGTCCCGTTGAATCGAAAGCTAAACAAACATCAAATCCTTATCACACAAAACAAGCAATCTCATCATCAAACATTGATCATCTCTCATCATCATAAATCATCGATGCATTCGACTCAAGCAAATTTTTTTTTTAATCCGTAAAAACGAGAAAAACAATAAAAACGAATAAAACCTAATGCATGCAAACTAAAACAAAATAAGTACAAAAATAACATGTTTTTCACCCCCAAACTTAAAATTTTCGGTGCCCTCAAACGATTTTCGCACAAAG